ATCGACACAATAAGCACCATCGGGTGCACAAGTGGGCATTGGAACAGAGACTAAGTGCTTCTTTACTTTACTACAATAAATCCTCAAGGGGGATTTCATGGAGGGATTTTCAAACAGGTGGGTTTTGTTTGGTGTTTTTTCATCGAGTAAATCGGATGAAAATTGATGTGCGTATGCCTTTAAAGGGTGTGGCCTGGCCTAGTGAGTGATGTGAGAGTCGGCTAATGAAGCTGTAGAGTTGCCTAATGTGACCTTAACAGCCACCCGCTAACTAGCTAAGTGTTAGCCAGTTGAGCGCATCTTTGCTAGCGTCAGTGTTGGTCTTAGCCGTTTGTGAATGAAAGTTTTTATTATCTCCTCTGTGCTATTTGTCCAATAAAGTCATTGATAGTGTACTGGTGGCTGTGTCAATCCTTGACCGTTTTGTGGTTGCATTAAGCTAGCAGTGCTAGGCTATCCTGTATTAGCTCATTAAAAAAATGTATTAGCAATCAGAGATGATGAGTTGTGATGTATTGGGAAGTTCTGTTTTTGAGCAAACTTTGTAAATTTCAAGGCAAAGATTTCGCTTTGTCCTTTTGATGTAACCAAACTAGTTATTTGGTCAATCTGTTCACCCTAACATGAAGCTGAAGGGAAACCGCGGGGGGTTATCAAACTAAGGTTGGAATTCATATTTATTGGATTGCTGCATTGAGTTATTGTTTTAACAATTGGATGAAACTTAAGCCGTTTGAAATCCTCATCTCTGCACAGAATGTGACACAACTTGACACACCAGCGATGAAAGGACTTGAAGGATGTGGAGTGGTAGAAATGACATGAAATGAAAACATTTGTGATCCCGTTAAATATTTCGACATCTCTCTTCACATGAGTTTCAAGGATTTTGGAGCATTACAACGTGACAGCTGACCAACCGTGAGACAAATCGTAAGGCCTGCAGGCCTTGACATGGAAGTGGAATCTGACCTGTGATTATAATGTGTCACTTATGTTTCATGAGGTCTTGTCTAAGCACGTTTCATGTGCAATCATTTTGTGTGTGTGTGTGTGTGTGTGTGTGTGTGTGTGCGTGCGTGCGTGCGTGCGTGCGTGTGTGTGTGTGTAAAATGGCTGTTAATCCTAATGAAGCAGCGTCATGTCTACCAAAACGTGTTTGTTTCCTTTTCTTGAACGATCATTTTATTCATGACCAACCAAACAGTGAAACGCCCTCTAATGTGAAGATTGAATTGTTATCTAACACAAGAGCTGTAAAGAATTCATTTTGTGACCGTGATCATAATGAGTAACACGATCTCAAATCATCTTTCCCCATTGAAATGAACTGAAATGACGCTAATCTGTTCCAACCTTACAAACGACAGCAACAAAAAAAGTATTTAAGGTGTTTAATTTTGTTTTTTAATAAGAAAAAAGGTCTGTATTGCATCCTACTTTATGTGAACATACATGGATGGATGGACAAGAAATACCTAATATCAGTTGGAAATGGTTTAAAGGTGGCAAATTGATGACAATTTCACCTCCTCTCCTTTAAAATAATACACGTACAATACGTCCCCATGTGTGAGACCAGGAAGTGGAACCTCTGAGAGTAAGACGCCCGGGAATCAATTTAGCCCACAGAAAATAATGTACATTCAATTAATACACTGCCGAGTCAAACTGTCACCAGGCTTAAATGTGCTGTTTGAATTTCTCAGCCTTTCTCCTAACGCATGCGATGACTGTGTGATTTAACTTCCAGGCTATTGATGACCAGTCTCATTGCTTGTATGATGCACCTGCATGTACTACACATGCTTATGCACGACATTACCGAAGGCTGCTGTATGGCTGTACAATTTGTCATCAACATAAATCATCTTCCACTTACCGAACGTTGGGCAGGACGACAATTTCTATGTTCAGTGATGTGCCGGACCTTCCAATCAGAGGTGGACTTTTGGCATCGTATCATCTTCTTTCTTTCCCCTGGGGAGACATTGGAGATGTCATCATAAGCCACTCGTATGATATTTATATTCTGCTCCTGATACCACACACCTGCCTTGGAGCCATTTCTGGCACGTTTTCAAAATCTCAAGACACTCACTGAGAGAGAAGCCAAGTCTGCAGAGGCAGCAGAGTGGACCGCATTGGAAATGGCTCACTTCATGTTTTCAAATGAGAAGACGAAATCAAAGTTGACATCGGGAGCCGCAAATTGAACAATTGTACTGTATTGTTGACTGTTTGAGAGTTTTTCCCGTTAAACTGGGCTGCTGCATCACTCACTGGCCACAACATTAGGTACACCTGCACCGTGTAATCCAAAGTGTAATTCATCTTTCCAAATGGAATAATGCCCAGTTTTGGCTGACACTGTCTGAGGTTACACATCATTGTGGCTCATGTGAAGAGACCTTAATGTTTTGCCTCTTTCTCAGCTAAGCACGGTCAGAAAAATATGCAGCTCCCAGTTCGATGCAGTGTAGTTCTCCACTTTTGCCACCTTTCAAAACAAAAGTACCATGAACAACAAGGTGTTATCATTGAAAAGGATTTTTTTTTCCTGTGCAGAGACGCCTAATATTGTGTCAGGTTCATGCAATGTCTCCTGCAATGACACCCACATAAATATTCCACTTTGTTGAATTTCAAACTTGCACGTTCTTCTTACTTGTTACAACCACAGCAGAGCAGACATCATTAATGTTAAGACTAGGTTTAATTACTCAGAATGTAAAAGACCTCTTGACAAATTGCTCATATAATTGCGGCAAATAATTTGCCTCAAATGTAACAACCACATACTCTAATAGGGGCGCACGTCACATTTGTACTGTTTGTGAGAGACAGGATTTAAATTGCATGTCCTCACATCAACTCGCCCTCTGCAGAGACACAAATTAAACCACACAGGGGCACAATTGCACATTAAAAAGAAAACCGGCCAACAATCCTGCAACCTGTCTAGAACAAAGTAGTTGAACAGGCAGAAAGTGAGGCAGTCAAAATGCGGGTGTGAATGAGGCGAGCGCAGGCTGCGGGGGGGGG